TATTTCTGCTAGTCTAAACATAAGTAGATTCCGTGGGAACCAAGATCATTCCCATACTGTAATGGAGAAGGAGGGACGTTCTGTTAGAGAGCCCATCAAATAGTTCTATTGGAGAATGTGATTTATAGCTAAATAGGGAGGTGGGAATTATTACATTGAATGAATCCTTGGGGGAGATTTTAGATTTGGTTTCACATTTGAGCGTGCCGACATTATGTATCCAATAAATCTCGTGCCTTGGAGTTCTGATTTATTCACTTCTATCACTCGGAACCTTGAAACCCCAATCAAGGAACCACAAAACAAGCTAACAATAAACAGGCTAATCAAAGAACCATCAAGATCACTCCTAACAATACTGACAGGGCAAGACATTAGAATATAAAATCAGAGCAAACCCCACTCTCTACATCACTGATAATATAATTGAGTTTGGGTAATGAAATGTCTGCAAAAAAAATAACCAAGCTCAGAGAGCACTGAGGACTCTTTGTTTCTCGTTTTAATCATTTATTACTGTCTGTATCTAGAGTTGCTTTAACACTGAAGCAACTGATTCAATAAATAAATGGTAATTCCAAGCATATAGACCTTACAGTGTGAAAAAGTTCTCCATAGGTTCTTTATTATTTCAATAGTTTATCTATTACCTCCATTGTTTTTCTTCTGTGACCCAATGCCTCCAAATACAGTTGCCAAAATTTGCTAAGTTCATTTCCTGTGTTTTTGAGGTAAGGAACGGAAAAACATAAAAGCTAATAGAAAGAACAAAAAGTCTAGGTATACCTACTGTAAACCCTAAGAGATATTCTGTATTGTTTAAAGCAAATAATCACAAAATTTCCCAAACTCAGAAAAAAAAGGAATCTAATCTCTCCTTCGTGTGTGATATGACACATACACTTTGATCCCTGCCTCGCCCATTAAGCTCTTGCTATTGCAGAAAGAGCTGACAACTCATATACCCCCCCCAAACTAGTTTGTATCCTTGCTGTAAGGAACAAGGGATAAAGTGTAGTTCTTCCCAAATAATTATTATTCCTTACTTCACTTCCACATCCACTTGGAAATTTATATTAAATTTATATTTCAACACAGTCACATCCAAATTACTTGTTAAGGAACTTGTCTGATTTTTTTTATTAAAAAGTTATGATTTCTTGATTTGAAAAAAACTGTAGAGAATCTTGCTTCCTGGAGCAAGAACAGTATTTAACTTCATAAATTATGGAAATAATATTTGAAAGCTTATTTGCATAAGTATTTAACAGGCACTCAAATCCTTGCTGTCTTTATAGCATGGTAACATACCCCTTTGTTCCTCCAAACAAGGTGCTCTGGAATTGTCACTAGAAGCAGAAATTATTTCTTTCCTTCTGCACTATAGTCTGGCATAACTTTCTTCATTGAAATTATTCTGTGGCCCAAAGATATCATTTTGGATTCCACACAACAGACCTGACCATTTCTAGTCTTTATTTATTGAATATCATAGGATGTTGCTTAATTATTTTGCCCCTCACAGAACAAAGAGCAAGAGCCAGCAAATAAGAGCTTATCAAAATTTCAGTATCCAGAAAGCTTTCTTTGTGCAATAGTTTGATATTAGTCATTTTGAGAAGTAATGCTGAAATGTTGGCTTGTTAAAGCTCCCATTCTCTAAGCTCAGCATACACATATAACAAGAGACCCAGATACAGTTTTCAGTACTGTATGTACAGTATCAGCTGGCTAGCTAATGTTCTCTGCCATCCATCTATGTTTCCAGTTGAATGAAGCCAGGACATAAATACTTTATTTTCTCCAGCTGTTGTAGCACAAGAGAACTTGGTCTGGAAAAATGGAAGAGGAATAGCATTAACATTAATGGGTATGTAACAATAGCAAAATAAAACATGTCTGGCATAAAAAATATGATTTACAGGAAAACTGTAAATTAGATACTGATAACCATTTGTATTGCTTTTTACAAATAGTGTCATTTAGAATAATAATAAAAAGCTCTGATTTCTAAAGTATGCCAAAGGGCATGACAATATACTTTTTTAAACATGGAAATTTAATTTGTATAAGAAAATAGCAAACATTGCTCTAAAAAAAACCCTTTTTTGTGTGCCTCAGGGATTTTTTTTCTCAAGAGAGCAGTTTTTCCTCTGGCAAGAGAGCAGTTGTAAAAACTGCAATTTATTTTCACTATTGCTCAACATTTAAACTCCAAAACCTGACCATAAAAATGATTGTAACTTCTGTTAGGATGGAATTCTAATTCTATAAGAATTAAGTACCACCAAAATGCATGGAATTTATTTTTAAGCAGATGTACAGGCTTAGCCAGTTAATGATATCATTAATCTTTGACTTCCCCCAAACTGCTTTTTAGACTTATCACTCAGTAGCAAATAGTAAGATATGGAAGAATTATAACACAAAGTGAAAATTGCTTACAGAACCGTAATTACATTCCTGAATGTTGGGGTTATCAGTCATGATTTTACAATCTGATTCCAAAATGCACCCTATAGAACTATCTGTAAGAATGAGAGAGATAAAAGGCAAGGTACAGTAAATACATTGGTTCACATATCCTATTAAATTATAGAGGCCACATTGAGTTCATACAACATGCATATCATCTAAGCTGTACGTTTGAGTCTAAGCTTGATTGAGTGTATATCTGAACTGAACAATTCTATTTAAAAGACAAAAAAAGCTCAATAAACTACATTGTGAAAATGTAGTTATAGTTGCTGTCATCACCACCACCACCATCACACTGCTAGAGATATTAGTCTCTGAAGAAAATGTACCAATATAGTTGATTCCATGGCTTGCTTTCTTTATTATAACAATAGAGTAACAACAAAAAAGTTATAATACAAAACATCCAACTTAAAAAATTCATGACAGAAATTAATAATAATAATAATAATAATAATAGAGAAGACAGCAACAGACAGTAAGTGCCGCCGATGCAAAGAAGCTGAAGAAACAGTGGACCACCTGGTAAGCTGTTGCAAGAAGATTGCACAGACTGACTACAAGCAGCGGCATGACAAAGTAGCAACAATGGTGCATTGGAAGATCTGCAAAAAATATCATTTGCCTGTAAGCAAAAACTGGTGGGATCATAAAATAGAGAAAGTCATAGAAAATGATAAAATTAAACTGCTCTGGGACTTCAGAATTCAAACAGACAAGCACCTGCAACATAACACCCCAGACTTAACAATTGTCGATAAGAAAGACAAAAAAGTCTGGATAGTGGATGTGGCAGTGCCTGGAGACAGCAGAATAGACGAGAAAGAGCTGGAGAAGATAACAAAATACAAAGACCTACAAATAGAAATAGAAAGACTGTGGCAAAAGCAAGCAAGGGTAGTACCAATAGTCATAGGCTCCTTGGGTGCAATCCCAAAACAACTGGAGCACCACTTGAACACCATTGGCATTGACAAATTCGCTATTAGTCAATTGCAAAAGGCGGCCTTACTAGGAACTGCTTCCATCCTGCGACGATACCTGTAATACCATCAAACATCCACATCTGCCTATCCCAGGTCCTGGGTAAGGACTCGATAGGTAGACAAAATGCCAAATCCAGTCTGAACATCTGGCTGACTGTACGATGATCCATAATAATAATAATAATAATAATAATAATAATAATAATAATAATAATAACAACAACTTTATTGTCACTTTGAATGTACACCAATTGGCATACATCAAAATGAAATTTCGTTGCATACAGCTCTCACCTCTGATATACACTCCTTATTCGTGGCCAGCTCAAGTTTCAGATCGTCCATTTTAGTCTCTAGGGAGCGAATGATGGCAAACAGGACAGATGGAAACGGAGCTCCATGTGGATTAGCCCTCAACTTAGCTTGTATTCCTGCACGACAACCTTGCCTCCTTTCCTTTTTCTGATCTTGTCTCTTCCACCTTTTTCCTTAAAGAGGCCTTGCTTCTTTTCGTCCCTGGAGCACGCTGCCACTGTCACCAACTCCTCCAAAAGCCTCTCTCTCTTCCTCTGGGCCTGCCGACAGCCTCATCCAGTTCCTTCACTCTGTAAGCCCCAGGACCTCTGCCTCCTTTGGAAACAGCCCTGATTTGCAATAGAATCCATCGCTGGGCCAGCAGTCAGATCTTGCTGCTGGCAGAACAATTTCAAACAACAGTTCTGAAACAGCTAGAAACTCATCATGCCAGCAATGATTGTCAGTTGTATGTTACCTTAGTTCCACCACATTGCTCAAACACATCAAAACCTTCCTGATCACGTAGCCCATATTCCTTAATATCCCACCCAAAACTTTTCACCTTCAAGAGCCAATGCAGCCACAGCCGATCCAGGCACCGCCATCTTAGAACTGAACTTTTCTCAGATCCAACTTCTAAAATGAATTGCTATAGCACATTTGACTACTTTTCTAGAAACCTAGAATATTGATAATTTAATAAAAAAAATGCAGTGTGGCCTATTTAGATCAGCTAGCTAGTAGCATTCACTTGCTCTTTTTTCTCTAGATTAAGAGTTTCCACAGCCTTGAAAGGAACCTCTATTTTGTAAATCTTAACCTGTGTGAATATAGCAGAGGTGTATAACCTGAGGCCCCAGGGGCACATGCAATCTTAAAAACCTCAGGGACCTCCAAATGTTATATAAGGAAAACATTAAATTCTTTCTGATGAGTAATCATAGCAAATTTATTATTTTTAGTAGAAGAAGCAAAATCAAATTTAGTAGAGCAACAGGCATGTCAAAGAGCTTAAAATCAGAAGCTGTACATTTCCATTTGTTTCTATGTGGATTTTGGAATTTTTCATAGGCAACCTGATTGCTTTTGTCAAGTTGTATTATGAACACTTGGGGGCGGGGAGAAGCCCTACCTTGTTTCAAAAACCTTATCAAGAAAAAAAAGTTAACACTTCCTTTCACAGGTATTTTTTGCATAGGTATCTGCAGATTCAGATAACAAATGAAACGCCTACAGAAATAACATGAAAGTTTAATTTTATTCTTGTTAGACATCCCAAAATAGTATTATAAATACAAGTTACATGAAGAGATTGCTACATTCCTTATTTTATAAAGTAATATTCTGTAAGTACATTTATATACAAAATTTACAAACTTATTCAGATAACTACTATATGTCTCTACATTCACAGAATACTCTAAGTAATTTAGAGAAAAGTAAATTTGTTTGATTTGGCAAAATAAAGTTAAACAAAAAGAAAGTTGTTTGTTTACATATGAAAAATATAAAAAAAAATCAGTTGATTAAAAGAAGATGCCATTTTGGTTAAGTCCTTTTCTGAAAAATATTCTGTTGATTTAATTCAGAATTAAATTTTGAGAGTCAATGAAAGTCCTTGCCTAGACCACACCCCAAATTTATGCAACCTTCCATACTTTATTTCATTGATGTTTTACAGATTTCCACGGTAGTGTGCCCTGTTATTTTGTGGCACTAGCTTGGTTAAAAATAGGGGCTCAGGGAGCTACTTCAAACAGGTACAAAAAGGTTCATAGTACATCTTTGTAAAATGTGCTTTCAAAAGTCCATACTATTCAAAGATCTTAAGGCTTAAATATTTCAATATCCCCTTTTTATACAATTTATTTTATTCCTTCCTTTTGCAAGCCAATCTCTAACCATCTGACTTTTAAACAATCCAGTTTCTCCTATTAACAACTATCCATTTTTATTTGGACTATTAATGTTGTTACATTAATTGTGGCAAAACTGCTAAGCTGAAATGTTTTTCAGTACCATTTTAGACAGATATGAGCTTGATTTAGAAGCTTTCAGGAAATGCCAAGTTCTATCCCTATACTGAATTTTATGTGCACTGCTTTGGCATTATATTTCTCTCTGCTGCTGTTTTTATTATATTGCCATGTGTGCTTTAGACCTTTAGATCCTGTAAAATAAATAAACTATAACAAGAAAGTGTAAAAGACAGAGCTCTATGTATAGCAGTTCTGAGTGGTGCATTACCTACCATTCTTGATTCAAGTACTTGGGAAAGCCCATGCTCATCAGGAAATCCATCTGCAAAGATCAATATACTGCACACCCTCAATATCCTGTCAGTTCATTAACTGAAACATTCTAACCCAGAGAAAAGGATAGATTATTCAGGTTGGTGTTGATGAATTGCCTTAAAGCAAAAACCAATTGCATGAATACTAGACTAAAACTCGGAAATGGAGTTTTAAGGAGATTCTCTCCACTTCATCTTGTTTTCCCCTATTCCAAAGAAACATGAAAAAGGTTTCAATGAGTAAGAGAGACCAAAGTAGGGAAAAAAAGAACTCAGTAAAAATGGTTACAATTTGTATGCAACATGCTTTTAGACAGCTTGCCAAGGCCTGCTCTTTGTAAAACTAGATCTGAATAAACATTTAAATATGAAACAAGATGCCAATGGCAGCAAGACTAGTTTTTAAAATAATCTATATTCTTTTAAAAATAGCATATATTGCATATATTCACCACTGCTTGCACAAAATGTTCCAAAGTGGCAAAAACCATTCACTATTCATTGTTCTGATATTTTAATTTCAGTATTTGAGCTATTGTAGAAAACTACAGAAATGCTAAAAGTGGGGATCAAGTACCTATTCTGATAAACAAAAAGTTGAGGTTTAACATGATCGCAGTCAAAACTGAAATCTTAATCTAATGAATTCCCAAAAAATAGCTTTTGGTCAAAAGACATATTGACCTGAACAGGCAAGCATTATGCAGCATTAAAGGTGACATGAAACAGCATATTTTACAATTACCTAGTGATCTTTCCTATGTTAACTTAGGTGTAGTATTTTTAACATGACCATAGAATAAATTGGTTAAATGAATGGGCCTGCACCCATGTCAAATTATCTTTTGCCACAGATTCATAAAGACACAGTTTAGTGCAAAAATTGATTACAGATGAACAGTTTCTCAGAACGCATATATAAAAATGAAATTAAAAACTATAAGGGTGACAATCGATTCAGTGAATTATTTCCTTCCTCGGCTGTAGAAAGTTTGACAGTTGTCAGCTTACGAGGAGGATGCTGAGGGCTCTTGCGAAGATTATCATCCATCTGTAAAAGCAACATAAAGGCCAATTTGGATAGTTGAATAAAATTACTTTCAATATTGTTCACATTGCAAAGTTCAATCATTTATTTTAAAAGGTAATTATAGACGTAATAGTGCAATTTTCTTGAGTTCAAGAACAACAGATTAACTAAGGAGTTTAATGAATTACCTTATTAATGTCATGCATATTTTTTATACTTCAACAGCTTAACTCCAATTAGTAAGTATGTTGTTTCTTATTTATCCATTAAAAGAAACAGAGATGTGGTCCTTTAAAGATTATTTTATCTATGTATGAGATATACTTTAAAGCACTTCCTATCCAATTCTCTGTAATTCATCCCTCTTTTTCACCATGTGTGCCTGATTCATTCAGTTGATCTGACCAAACATTGTTGCATGCTTCATTTTATAATATCATCACCTGATTGACAACATGCTTTCCAATTTATCTGTACAAATTTCTTTTCACCTCTCAGAGAGAGTTAAGTATAAAACCATGCAGCTTCCCATCAGATAAGAAAGCAGTTTAGAAGTGGAAAAATGAGACATAATATTCTTGACCATTCAGAGTTAATTACCACTATTTTCTTAAGATCAAACAATGGAGAGCGAAAAGTACTACTAATAAAGTTAAAATACCTGCCAACAACAAAACAGGAAATGAGCTTGTTAAATATTTATTTAACAAGAAAATTAGAGTCAGACAGCGATTTTGAGCACTGCCCAATCGTTTAAAAAGTTTGGCCCTCCACTGATTCTGACAAACCACCGAATATCTACTGTTAAAGCAAACAGAATTCTGGCTTCTGCCAAACAGGAAGCTACAAATCTTCTGTCTAAAGTTATGCTTAAAAAGAATTTGTGTCTGCAAAGAGAAATAAATACTCAAAGGTTGACTGCTCTATGTTAGTTGCCAACTTCCTCCCCACAAAACCAAACTACAGATAATTAACAGGTGGAGGGGTACTGACATCAAATGGCTAGATAATTTAATTTATCTTAATTTACCAAAATAATAGTACTTTTTGCTCTCTGTTGCTCTTTCTGATTATCTATCTCAGCTCGTTCTAACAAAAGACTCTTTAGGGAAAATACATCACTTGATTGGAATAAATAACCAAAATGAAACCAAGACTGAGCAAGTGTGTCTCCCTCTATTAACACTTTAATTTTCATTATAATCTGACAACTTCTGTTAGAAAATAACTGCTTCTAATAATTTTGATTGATAGTCATTGTATTTATGGAACCACTCCTTTATCACATGGAATATTACTGAATGATTTACTTATCATTCTTTTATAATTTACTTAAATACTTGAGAAAACATACTAGTAGTTAGCTGTCATATTTGAATTATACTCCCCTAATGAATCCCAGGGGTAGTTTAGAGCTGTTAATTTCAAGTTCATGTTCTTAAGATACTCTTTCATGCTCACAATGCTACTGAAGCTTAAACACTTCAATAAATGCTCATTAATTTATATATGCAGAGATCAAACATTTGTGGAGATATAGAGTACATTGCTAATTTCCTAGTATTAAATTATAGCCGCCTGTATATAGAATTATATGGGGTGATTAAAATGCCCAAAAGGAAATTTAACCCTAATCACCTGAGTTCATTTTTCCTACTGCACCTAGAACACTGTGTTGAGTTCTTTCCAGGTACTGCATTTTCTCCTTTATCTTTTCCTTTATTGGTACTGCATTTTAGGAATGGCATTGATAAACTTGAGGATGTACAGAGGAATGCAACCAAGCTGATAAGGGGTCTGGAAGGAAAAATGTAGGAGGAATAATTATAGGATTTCTACATGTTTTGCCTGGAGAAAGCTGTAGGGAAATGTGATAATTATCTTCAAGTATCTGAAGGGCTTTCACATTGAAAATGGGGCAAAAATATTCAGTTGTTTAGAAAACAGGATAAAAAACAACAAATTTAAAGAAAATAGATTTCAGATGGACACCATTAAGGTGAAAAGAAAAGCATCTTAGTTGAACTGACTGAGGCTTATCTATCTAATTTGTGCTTCCTCTAGTTTAAGAGACAGCTAAAGCTAAAATCTGTCAGTCATATGACAGGCAGATGGATGCTATACTCAACGTTCAGCTGTGAGTTTCAAATTGAAACTTTTTGTATCTACAAACTACTTATTCAACCTTGTTTGATTGGTACACTTTAGAGTCTTATTTTTGGCTCATTTCAGCACTTTACCCCAGGAATACTAGATGGAAAGTACAGTAAGATCTGTTCAACGAAAGATGTTGTAGTTGGAATGAACTTGAAACCCTCATTTCAGCACTTTACCCCAGGAATACTAGATGGAAAGTACAGTAAGATCCGTTCAACGAAAGATGTTGTAGTTGGAATGAACTTGAAACCCTATTATTACTGTAATATTATTATTATTATATTTTGATCACACCTTTTAAATTATGCATGTACAAGTAATCCTCATGTTAATACTAGTTGTTCAATTTATCAGGGGTGTCAAACTGCTGGCCCAAGGGCCGGATGCATCATAATGAAACCACGCCCACCCCATTGCCGGCAATGGAAAAAAAGTCACAATATGTTGCGACACATCACATGACATTGTGAGTTTGACACCCCTGAATTTATGATGGCAGTGAATGAGGACTTACAATGGGTACTTGGAATTCTGGCCATAACAGCATCCCCACAGTCATATATTAATTTGGTGCTCAGCTTGCAATTACAAATGGTGGACATATGATCAAGATTTCCAATGTTCCATGCCAGCTTTCCTCAAGCAAAGTCAATGGGAAAGCCAAGAGGAAGTTGGAAGGACCTTGCTTAAAGGCCCACATGGTTCTTGCTTAACAAAAGCAACCTGGACCACCAGAACTGCTGTCACCAAGCAATGCGGTCACATGATGCCACACTTCACAACTGTATTATTTAGCAATATCAATTCCAGAACCAATTGCAATCATAAACTGAGGACAGCTATATAACTGAAGACAGCAAACACATCTAATAATCAATCTTGCCTATTTTCTGTACAACAATATCTCTATGACCTGGGTTGGGCTGACAGAAAATGACTGGCCCAGTTACTCAGCTGGCTTTTATCCCTAAGGGAAAACTAGAACTCTTAGTCTTCTGGTTTCCAGACCAGCACCTTAATTATACCAAACTGGCTCTCTGTTGGGTATTTTTTCACTACACTATACTAAATTATGTGCAGACATATCTTCACCATGCCATAACAAAACTGCAATCTTGTATGAGGGAGAGGTAATCCATTTTCTATCAGCAGATTGAAACCATACCATCACCAATATGGTGGCTAAGTTACTATTTTCAATTATTTCCATAAGAAGTCATACAACCTTGGATTGATGACATCATGAAGTCTTTTATATTATGTATTAAGTTTATATGCTGCCTTACTATCAAGCGACTTTGCAATAAGTATTGCATTTCTCTTGTGTTTTATATTGTTTTATTATAATTTATTCAATTTCTTCCTTCACTGATTTTAAGTCTTAATTTTATATTTTTATATAGTAATATTGACTTTGATATATCTGGTCATTGTTACTGAAAGCTTTTTTTAACTTTGCCGGTCAGTGACTTCAGTTAAAAAAACTGGCTACTCTGGAGTAAAGGTAATTACTGCAGTTTGGCCTATGTTTAGTCACTATGTCATAAGCATGGCAGTTAGTCTTGTTGATTTATGGCTTGATTAGCTAGCAGTGTCCATATTTGGTATAAAAAAAACATTAAGCAGTTCATAGGGAACAAAGCTTATATATTAGCACCAAAACTTTATATTTTCATATTAATACATTAATTTTGCCTGAAAAGACATAGACCTTCATGTATTTAAATTATCTTGGATATTTTTATTCTGAACCATTCAGAGTTGCTAGGTAATAACTATATACAGTAAATGTGTATAAATTCATAGAAGCTATACTTAAAATGATATTGCTGAGGACAGTTGAACACAGTTTTTGAGTCCAAGTTTAATTACTGATTAAAATGTCTCATAGTTCAGCTAGTTCTTTTAGTATTTACTGTTAATTTTTAGTTGAGTTGGATGACGGTCTCTTTAGGGAATCTGTTTTCATGCCTTTTGCCAGAATTCCTACTATCTATTGTCTATGAAAGAGCTAATGAGTCCTTTGTAGAACATCAAAATAATTTAAACATATCCAAATGTTTCAAATGTTGGAGGCTAAATCACAGACTTTTATAATTTTACTATCCCCAAACACTGAAAAGCATTTTCTATGGCATGTTCTAATGCCTGGCCACTTGCTTTGTTAGATTTAATAATATTCCTTTGAATCACATCTATCCTTCTGACTCTGGAACTGCTTAAATTATTGGCTACATTTTCCCATATTGCATTTGTGTATAGAAATATACATAAGGCCTATTTGATATCTTCCTTAATGTTCAGATGACTTTTTTCTTTCCTTTATCAAATAAACATCAGTTATTATTTGTTAGGTAGAAATTCTAAGTGCTAATTAAATAAAACCCACCCAAAGATTACAACAAATCTGCCTGCTCCTTTAAGTCTCTTACATATTTTTATATATTCAAGAATTTTATAGTGGTATTATGTCAATTGTCCATACTGTACCCAACTTATATATTTACTTACTATGGAAGAAAATACAATCAACTCAAATCCTGCCTACTCCCTCTTTTTTAAATCAAGTGCCAATGCTGATTTTTTAAATATAATCAACCAATAAAGAAGAATATTTGTACATAATGTAATACTGAATATTATCAAATAGTCATTTCAAAACCTACATTATTGATACACAAATAATTTAGAGTTCAGTTATCCAGAACAATGGTAGTTTCATATATTTGTGCAATAGAACTGCCACAGTAAGGCAGAAAAATGGGCTAAAGCTAAAGAATGAGACACTATTAAAAGAAAAAGCAACATAAAGAAGAGGGGTGTCAAACTGGTGGCCCGCGGGCCGGATGCATCATGTGCAGCCCACACCCACCCCAGCTCTGCAAAGACAAAAAAGTTGCAATACACTACAATATGTCACGTAACGCGATCGAGTTTGATAAAGATGATAAATGCAGAACCATTCTTGTTTTTTCCTTCCGCAGCCTATCATCTCATATGGTTTTCTGCAATGAAAACTACACTACAGACATCAGAGTTTGGAAAACATAAAAGCAACTGAAACCAACTGCGGTAGGAAGCATCCCAAAACCTGAGATGGATTCTGCTCTCCTTGTGCTCTTTTCTAATACTGGTTCTCATTCTCTTTCTAGCTGATTAAAGCCAAGTGTACTATCTGATCCCTATCTATCAGTTAGAAAATCAGAATGAACAAGAACCTTTTCAATCAAATTAGATTCCTTGTTCACAAGCTGTGTAAGTTTCTGGAGATTTGCATCAACTGTATCTTGTCCCTCCGGAGAAGTCCCTAAACAGGCAAGATAGAGAGAAGACAAAGTTAGAAACAACCAAGCTCTTTGCAAAACATTTCAAGAATTTTCACAGAGAAAGAATCATATAATGTATGCTAATAGAGTCCTAAGCCTTTACCATTTTTAAAGCTTTTGTAAATTTATAAGGCAGATTCCAAGGTTTCTGGTGAAGAATTTATTTCCAGTATAGACTTAGTGCAAACAAGCATTTGTAGATTTCAAGATGTATATGTGTAGGGACAAGTGTATCATTTACCTGAGAGGTTTCGTCTAAAGTAGCAACTCAGAATATCATCACAGAAGCGACATAAGTTGGGAAGCTGCTTAAGATGCTCTTGTAACTGGACTTTAAGGAATGGTGCTTTATAAAGAGGTGCAAGAAAACCAAATACGAAGGCATCAAGAGTTGTAGGTCTAGATATAATAAATACATGACATTATTATCTCAAACCCCTTTTAAAACTTTCAGAAATATTTAAGTAAAATGTTATGTTTGAAAATTTTGAATTCATAAAAATGTAACATGCTCGACTATAGAAATAGTCGAGAAATTGTGTCATTATTTCATGGTAGTTTAATAATCTAACAAGACTGTATTTTCTGAAAATGACTAATTTCTCTTCATTATTTATTTAGCGTATGGCATCCACAGAGATCATGCAATCATTGATATACAACACTAATAAACCACATTATACATACAAACACAAATATTTGAATAAAGCATCAGCAAATACATGTAGGTAAAGTGTGTGAACAATATGTAGATAAATAAAATATTGAATTAGGATAAAACCATGATAAAATCGCTACCATATGGCACCACAAAATCACAATAGGATAGATCCTATAGTTCAATATCTAAGGAAGTAACCCATCTAACTGCTTCTACTGTTGCTGTGATGAGATCATCCCAGGTGCCTGAAACTTCCTGAAGAGACTTTCTTGAACTATGTGTATTATCATCTGTTCCAATGCACCACACTCACATTGCAGGATTTTGGCCATTCCCCACTTGAAGAACTTTGTCCTAATTCTGACATGGCCTGTCCTGATTCTATTCAGATGGCTCCATTTTTTCCAGGGCAGCTGCATTCCTAGAAGTGGTTTTATTGGAGCTATATGATCAGTTTGGTTATAGTTATTAAGGCTCATCCATTTTGATCGCCATTCTTCATCTAGATTGTAAGACTGTGGCATGTTATTCCAAATTGGTTTCCTAGACTTAAGCCTGGTGCAAGATACAGAATCTAATATTTTATGTACTTATAGATCTCTAAGAGTACATGGACTATTTACTCTTGGACTGTCTGTTGTTGACTGAGATAGGGGGGGGGGCAATGTTAGAAAGAACATGGAACCAGAATAGTGGTGTAGATTTGAGGGTTCCAGATGTTATTCTCATTGTATCATTAAGATAAACTTCAATCTTGTTGGTACGACAACTTCTTCCCCATACAAGTGTGCAGTATTCAGCGACAGAGTAAACTAATGATTGTACCATTGTTCGCAGTGTTTATGCTTATGCTCCCCACCCTATTCCTGCAATTTTCCTAATCAAGTTGTTCCTTGTTTTCAATTTCTGTCCAATTACTTCAAGATGTTCTCTAAATATGAAGGATCAGTCAAGATTTGTCTTCACCAAATGGGTTTAAACCAAATAGTTACAACAGTCAACTAAGCAGTTGCAATTAGCTGCAGGCTGTACATCTAAAGCAGCAGTTTTTCTGAAGCGTAAAGCCTGTTATCAGTAATATCAGCTGTCAATGTCAGATGGTCCTCATACAAAGGAATTGATAAATGAATAGCTTTAAGTCAGATTTTGATATTTGGAATATAATCTACATTTTATCAGCAGGCATCAAACTCAAGTCTAACTCCTATATAAACAGATGAAAGTGTTCTTCAGGATAAATCTTTATCATGTTGCCCTAGAAAACCTGAATTAGAACCCACATGACTTAGACAAGTTACATAAATCTCTTCCATGGCCATATCACTGATTCAAATATGTTAATGTGTTTTTTTTTTCTCCACATCAATATAATTATAAAAAAGATGATTTTCCATGATAAAAAACAACAGCATCCTGAATGCTATACAAAAATCCACAAACTGGAATGGGTTCTAGAAATTTAGTTTTAAATTGGTAATCAATGAAGCAATTGCCTGCTTGAAAGAGGGAAGAAATGGCCACATTAGCCATAAGTAACCTGTTGGTGATAAAAAAAAAAAAAAACATGCAGCAAACATGGTGTGTAGTAACTACGGTACGTATATGGATCTTGGTGATTAACCTGGCATTTAAAAATAATTGTTAAGCCTCTTTTAGAATTTATGCTGTAGCTTTCTTGCTTTTTTTACTCAAAATTGTGGAAAATTATGCCACTGATATTCAAGGTACATGTGTGTCATTTTATATAGAATCTGGAAGAAGCTGTTCTTGAATTCTTTTAAAAATTCTTTTTATTTAGTTTTCATTTAGTTTATGGTGATCAACAATTGAACAAGTGTTGATATTAAAGCTGGCAAATCAAACAAAGTCTAAACATAGTTTTAAATACAAAATGTAGTAGCATTAAAATGCCTTGCAAATACCATAAATATTCTGTACTTACTTATTTCCAAAGAAAAATGGAGCTGAGCCTAGTCTATTTGACAGAAGATTCAGACATTCTTTTGCATCTCTGTAGATCTAAGATGGAGAAAAGTTCATTTGCACAAAACTTTTCCAGTACTTATTTCAAATCGATATAGTATCTTCATAATAGACAGTAAAGTATTAACTTTGACATTGCCTATCCTATATCACAATGTTGAAAAATGTGCCATTACAGACACAACCATTTGCAGTCAAACATAATGTTGCCAAAATAACATGTATGTGATGATGTCATCAAGTAAATGCTATTAGCATACTCTTGTGTCTTAATATTTAACACAACTGCATAAGTTGCAATATTTGCATAACATGCTGCAATTTGATTCCTCATGCAACAGTTACAGAATATTTTTATTAATCTTAAAACAGTTCTGAGAACTTGACTCTTGTTTGTGGAAGCATACAAAACACCACAGCTCTACTTACTCCATTACTGTATATATTAGCCCATTTTCTGTTTTTACAGGATTTTACAGGAGCCCTGATGGCATAATGGTTAGAATGCAATATTGCAAGCAAACTCTGCCCATAGCCTGCAGTTCAGTGCTGATGGAGCTCAAGCTGACTCAGTCTTCCATCCTTCAGAGGTTGGTAAAATGAGGAACCAGATTGTTGGGGGCAATATACTGACATCGTAAACTGCCCAGAGAGTGCTGTAAAGCACTATGGGATGGTATACAAATGTGTTACTGCTATTTTTCTCTGTGGCTGATTCATTTTGTTATCATATTATTCCTACAAATCAAGAGTAGGGAGCCTGTATTTCAATACAAGAAATATAATAAAATTGGAGTGAATGTGTTATCACAACCTTATCACAATTTACAAAATTAAGAATCCTTCAAAAACTAATGAAAAAAGTTAGCTCGGTGTTGTATTTCTGTTCCACCTACAATGTTCGAGCTCCCCAAAAATGTTGTGCAACCCTCTGCCACCAAAAATTTGTTCATTCTTAATAACCTAATTTATCAAGCTACCCCTGAATTTTGTAATGCTTCAGTTAATACAAAATGCAGTAAAATGTATATCTTGAATGTATTTTTCCACTCAAACAAGTTATCTAATGTATTAGCGCATTTCAAAGCACTAGTGCTAAAATTAGAGTGCCATTTTATAAATGTGCCAATTTTGACTAAACTACCTAGTTCTTCAGGATGTTTCTGGGGAGAAATTGTCCATACTACCTCTTAAACTTTCTATTCACACAAAAAATAAAAAAAAATCCAAGATGTTGCTCTGAGACCCACAGATACACTGGGGTTTGAGTATAACTCATGGGCTGCCCATCTCTACTATTAGCAGTGTATATTGTATGTATTATAACTCATTATAATAGCAACATTATTGCTTTGTGTATCATGCTGAAGTGCTATAGGAGTTAATTTTTTAAAAGTATAGAATAGAAAAACAAAACCCCAAAGAAAATTAAATTCAGGCCATCTCTTATTTAAAGGGACACTCTAATTCATATTAGTTTCCAATAAATGGAACATATCAGAGGAAATACTGCTCATAGGTTTCAAGAAAGCAGCAGGAATTATAGCAATTATAGCAACACAGATAAAACAGTGGAGTGCTTTCACAACAGTGGACACTTTTTGAGCACTACTTTTGTGCTGAGAAATCTCTCATACTGATTGCAAAGGTTACAAAGAAAGTTATGTAAATGCTCTGGAAAATGTTCCTATATGGTAAACAATTGTTTTCACTTTTTGTTTTAATTTCTTTTTTGGAAAAAAAAAAGCTTGTGCAGGGCTTTAGATTTGATTCCAAAATAATGCTTTGGAATTTATATAAGTATAAACAAAGTACTTGTCTGGAATGTCTTCAAAGCTACATTTTTTCTTAGTTTGTATAGCATCATGTTAGGTCAATCTTTTTTTTTAATGCTAATAATAACGTGCACGGAGGAAGAATTTGGTTTAAAAGGCAAATGAATCTTTCTGTAATATTCTAGCAAAAATAAAGATGTTCTCTCACAAAATTAGGCTCCTTCTCAAAAAAATATATACTATATATAAATATAAGAAAAAACTATATATTTTGTTCTGATAGAAAGATAAATATTCTGTAAATAATATCAAACAAAACAAGACACCACTTCATTCTGAAGATTAAACATTTGCCCTCATATAAAGTAGAATAGTAAACAATATCGTGCTGTTTTAGTATATCTGCATCAATTTTAACTGATTAAGAAAATTTACCTGAACTTCTACTTCAGTGATACTATAGAGAGGAGGCCCTCCCTTTGTCAGCAAGATCCTATTCAGAGCTTCCCTGGACATCTTTCTAGGTAGATACCAACTCAATGGAAATGGAATCCTTGAAGCAAACCATGGTTTTGTCAAATTATAGTAATTATCAGCTTCAATCCAAAAAGTATACAGCTGTATCATGAAGATAAAGAATGTTAATATTCAAGAATGAGGATACATTCTATAAAGACCACAATATTCTTTTAATTCTTAAAAACTAAATTCAGATTTTTTTACTGAAGCTTTTCAGTTCAAAATCTAAGAGTTTATACATATACATAGCCCAGATTTATGACTAGGGAAATTCAGCATATTTATTATAATGAAATGACTAGAAATAATGTTTTTCTTCCTCTAAGGGCATATTCTTCCTGAAATATCATTTGTGTAACTAATACAGGCAGAAGCCTATATAATAAAAATATAAAGAACATTTGTAAGTTTGTTTGCTTTATGTCACTTTGCAATATAAATATAAAGTCCACTTATTTTGAAAACTAATAATCAATGATTGCATATTACTGCTGCTTGATTAATTTCATTTGCTTTTCTGCATTTGCAATTCTATGTTTTATATGACCCATCTACAGAAAACATATAAATATTTTAATAAAATAAATCATACACCCTTTTCACCTTCTAGTTTTCTGTTGAAAGATTTTAATCAAATCTCCATTCACAGTGTGAAGTAACACACTCAAGGCTTAGGTTGAACCATTGTTTTTAAGAGGTAGGCCACACAAGTATAACTTATAAAGCTGATTAAGCTTTCTGTTTAGTTAAATTAATCTCATTTTCAATTATAAATTTAAATGTTGATTTTAAACAGATACCTCCTTAAGTGTTTTATAGTAAATTCATACAAACACTAGTCCCAAATTAAGTTCCATTAATTTCAGTGATAGAAATATAAGGAGGTTATTAAGTTATACAATCAAATTCAATTTAAAACTAACAACATAAAAGCAAAACCTGCTGCTTGTAATTGGGCACTGGATTGCCAAAGTTGGAAATATTAAGGAAAATGTTATACTGCGTGGTTTAAGGAGAACATCAAAATATCAATTTCTGCCAATCTATGATTTCTTTATAGCTAACACTATCTTCAAACAACCAAAATGATACCTATATCCATGGAAGTGCCAAATGGAGTAGACAGAAATCAAATTGACTCTACTATTGCTAAAACAGGTTAGATGAGTTCACTTAAAGTATCAAACAGAAAGCCAAGTGCTGGCTTGGAAGAGATTAGAAACTATAATACTCACATGCAAGTTCTAAATTAGACTAAAGAAGAACAAGAAAGACATACAGTTTCCATAACATGAATATATATCTACCATTTCACGGAGAACATCAGGAATCACTTTGAAGTTCTGAGGTCATTGAGACAGAACCAGAGGAACTGGTTAAAGAGGAAAGTGAAAAGAGACTGCCAAAGATGAAGAAAAAGAAGAAAGCAAACTGGGTGTCAGGAAAAAAACATCAAAATTGCCAAGAAGAGAAGCCAAAGCCAAGAAAGGTAAAAACCTCAGCAAGGAACTTGATGGACATATAGTAGAATTTCAAAAATTAAAGGGGCATACTAAAATATTACATAGTAGATATGCCAACATCCAGGGTGCCTTAAAACACATTCCCTATTTACACAATTCTTAGTACTAGAAGATAAAATTACAGTAGATCAGCATCCTGGTTATTATCAAGTCAGAAGGCTATAGGAACTGATAGAATACTCACAGAAATATGGCAAACGAAAGAAAAATCAATAAAAGTTCTATCCAAGCTATGCCAGCAAATCTGGAAAATGACATAATGGCCAACAGATTTGAAGAGATCAATCTACATTCCTTTTTTAAAATTTTCTTTTCTTTTTTCATTTTTAAATTATTTTTATTTATTTTTTATTTTTACTAGCTTATAGTATAAAATACAAAAATACAAAATCAAGTAGAGGGAAACAAAGGGGAGGAGAAGGTAAAGAGAAAAGTGTGGGAGAAAGGGAGAAAAGAAAAAAAAGGGGTTGACTTCTGACTCCCTCTCTTGTGGTAGAATAAGGCATTAACATTGAACCTCAACTTTTTACTTTTCCATCACTGTATAAACTAGCCATTTCTGTAACAGCAAATCAATCTAATCAATAAAACCCAAAATCAAAGTTTCATTTTTTCCACCTCAAGCACAAAGTCCAGAAGTTTCCAAGTAGAAACAAAAGTATTTATATTCTTTTCTTTGATCAGAATCAGAATCAAAATTGAGCTGGAAGGGACCTTGGAGATCTTCTAGTCCAGCCCCCTGCTCAAGCAGGACACCCTATATCAGCAGTTCTCAACCTGTGGGTTGCGACCCCATTTGGGGTTGAACGACCATTTCACGTGGGTCGCAAAACAACGCGATCTGCCATTTTTTCCGCCATTTTCCCCCTTTTCCTTAGCTCTGCTACTCCCTTATTCTATTGGCTTTCGAAAGCCAATAGAATAGACTCTCTTGAACAGAGTCTAATTCTATTGGCTTTCAAAAGCCAATAGGAATTGTCCAGGGCTGTCTCTGCCCTGCTGAGCCCACCAAAAGCCCCAGTCTGCAAACGGTGCTGCAAGGGGAACAGTCTGCAGAGCTTCCCTCCCTGCTGAGCAACTAAAAAGTAAGTAAAAGAGGGCCGGGGGTGGGAGGTGGGAGGCCGGTGGGCGCAGGGAGGGTTGCTGGCGCGCGTGGGGCCCGGCAGGTGCCTTACCTGTCTTGGGCTGGGCCAGCTGGTGGCCCAGCCGGTGGTCGCCCTGCGCCGCCACGGCCGCCCAGGAGCGCCTGGGCCTGCCTGCCACCGCCCCAAATGGGCGGCGGCCAAGGTAAGCCTAGCAGGGCAGTGGCGGGCGCAGGGAGGGTTGCTGACGCGCGTAGGGCCTGGCAGGTGCCTTACCTGCCTTGGGCTGGGCCAGCTGGTGGCCCAGCCGGTGGTCGCCCTGCCTGCTGTGGCCGCCTGGGAGTGTCTGGGCCTGCCTGCCGCCGCCCCTTGCCGGCTATGCCTCAGCCGGCACAAGGGGCGGCACCATGCATGCGCGGTACTCCCGGGCCGGTAGTCCTCGACTTACGACCCGGGTCGCGGCTATAAAAAGGTTGAGAACCACTGCCCTATATAATTTCAGACAAGTGGCTGTCCAGTCTCTTCTTAAAAACCTCTAGTGATGAAGCACCCACAACGTCTGAAAGCAAGCTGTTCCACTGGTTAATTGACCTCGCTGTCAAGAAGTTTCTCCTTAATTCCAGGTTGCTTCTCTCTTTGATCAGTTTCCAACTATTGTTTCTTGTCTTGCCTTCTGGTGCTTTGGAAAATAAATTGACCCTTCCTCCTTGTGGCAGCCTCTCAAATACTGGAATACTGCTATCATGTCCCCCCAGTCCTTCTTTTCTCTAGGCTGGCCATTTCACATGCTCTAGGCTGGCCATTCCCAAATTCTGCAACCATTCTTCATATGTTTTAGTCTCTAGGCATTTAATCATCTTAGTTGCTCTTCTTTGCACTTTTTCAAAACGGTTAATTTACCCATCTCTGCTAACTCCATCAACTTTTGTAGCCATTCATCCATGGTGGAAATCAAAATGTCCTTCCATTTTTGTGCGTAGTCTTGCTGCCATCAACATAGATAAGATTAAAGTTCCAATTTTTTTTCCAAGTCTTTTTCCATTAAGCCCAAAAGAAAAGTTTTTGGTTTTATCTTTATATTCACTTTAAGAATATTCTGTAAAGCGGTCAATCCAATACCAAAAATAGGAAATTTAACTATGTGCACACACCTATCATACAATATCCTTAATTTCACATGCTAGTAAAATAATGCAGTATAACATTTTCCTTAATATTTCCAACTTTGGCAATCCAGTGTCCAATTACAAGCAGCAGGTTTTGCTTTCATGTTCTGTTAGTTTTAAATTGAATTTGATTGTATAACTTAATAACCTCCTCATACAATATCCCTAATTTCACATGCTAGTAAAATAATACTTCAGATCATCAAACATGGAAAAGCCCAAATGAAAAAAGAAACACTTGATATCGAAGCTGGCTTTAGAAAAGGCCAAGGAACATGAGACATTATTGCTGATGCATGATGGATAATTAAGAAAGCTACAGAATACCAAAAAGAAGTTGTAGTATGTGATCCATTGGTTATAGAAAGGTATTTGATTGTATTAATCATATCAACTATGAAATGCGCTTAGAAAAACAGAGATTCCAGAGTATCTTATTGTTCTAATGTAAAACCTATATACAGGGTCAAGAAGTGACAGTATGGACAGAACATGGCAAAACAGATTGGCTCCAGATTGGCAAAGAAGTGAGACACGGATGTATCCTTTCATTTATTTAACTTATTTGCTGGATGTACATTATGGGAAGCTGGGATGAAAGAGATGAATATGATTTTAAAACTGGAGAAAGAAACATCAGTAACCTGCATTACAATGATATTATTCTTGATAGCTGAAAATGAAATGAATCTGCAAAGAGTGTAGTGAAAATTAAAATTAAATGAAAAGAAAACCAAATTAATGACATCAGGTATAAAAACAAGGCTTAGAATTGACAATGAAGATATTGAACTAATAGATAGCTTCTGCTTTTTAGGATCAACCATCCATAGTAAAAAAACAAGTAGTCAAGAAGTACACTACAGATTAGCATTTGGTAGAACAGCTAAGAAGGCCTTTAAAAAAGATGCCATGATGTGTTTATACTACAAAGATTGGAATAGTGCTAGCAGTAGTATTCCCTGTGCCACTTTATGGAAGCAGGATAGGAACAGTATTGACAATTTTGAATTCTGGGATTGGAGAAGTGTCCCGAGAATACCATGCACTGCCAAGAAAACAAACAAATGGATCACTGAAGAAATCAACCCAGAGTTCTCTCTCAAGACATAAATGACCAGGCTCAAATTATGCTACTTCAAACACATTATATGAAGTCCTAACTCTGGAGGAGCTAATGCTAAGAAAAAAAATGGAGGAAAGAGAAGAAAGGGGTTACTAGCTGTAAGACTGATGCATCACTTGAAGGACCAATTTAGGGGCAGATTGTCATAGAGAAAATAAATCAATGTAATGGTGAAGAGTTGACTCTAACTTGATGGCACATAATTTCAATGAGAAAACGATAAAACTTCGGCACATATGCCTATTTTTAAAAGTATTATCTACTGATCATCTTAGTGCAAACCTATATAAACATGAATTTTACTGCCCATTGCCTAACATTATCCTGGTTTTTCTAAATCATTAATAAATTCAGTGTTATGTATCTGCAGTGCATGCTGGATAAAAGATTGGCTAAGTACTATTGCTTTGCTGCCCTCATTTTTCCTGTTAGAAAATCAGAAGAAACATCTGCCAATCACGTTTCTGCAGCAGAAATGGAACAAGTACAACATTAGGCTCTGTTGGATGGCTTTCGGCCAGTTTGTGTGCTGTTGTTTCAACAAACCATTCTGGCATAACATATTTGTAAAGTGTCAATTCATTCCCATGCTGTTTTTCCTGAGAATGATTCCTGGTCTTTCATTTCACTGTCATGTTACTACAGCCTTGAGGAAATTAGTAGGTACAGTAGAAAAAGTATTAACAAAAACATGAACTAAACCTTTTAGTGCCGTAATGCAAATCCACCAACTTCTGACTCACCTGCAAGTTCCTTGTGTAGCATCAGGTGTACTTCCAATGAAACCACAAAGCTACTTTTAGGCTGAGTTTGACCATAAGCACCCATCCTTATAGATATATTTACATCAATATTTGACCATAAGCACCCATCCTTATAGATATATTTACATCATCATCAAGTGATGAATTGATTTAAATAAGTCTCTCAAGCTCAATAGGAAATGAATAACAGAACGGTGACAGAAGAGGCTTATTACGAGCCAATAGGCAGAGATATGACCACATCAGGTAGAACATCCAATTGGCCCACTGCTAATCACCTGACTTCACCTCCAATATACATGTCATTTTAACATTATACAGCTATGTACAATTTAAGTCTGTCAGTAACAACTGTGGGCCAGGGAGAAGATGAAGGCCATAATTTGAGGATGGAATGGAAATAACTATGCTGTGGTTAAATGCACTTTGAGAGACCATTTGGTTCTTACCATAGCAGGATGTAGTTTTTCTTCAAGCAGTGCAATGTATGCCAGTGTGTCAGCTCCTTCCTTTGAAGACAATTCGTAATCAGCATTATATTTCTGCCAAAAAAAAAAGGCAGCAGAGAGCTATATGAAACTTTCTAAAAAGAAACTAGATCAGTGGTTCTCAACCTGTGGGTCGGGACCCCATTTGGGGTTGAATGACCATTTCACGGGGGGCACCAAACCATGCTGTCCGCCATTTTTTTCCCCTTTTCCCTAGCTGTCCTACTCCCTCTTATTGGTGGCCACACCCACTTGGGGGTCACCACAACATGGGGAACTGTATTATGGGGTCACGGCATTAGAAAGGTTGAGAATCACTGAACTAGATGTAACAACTGAAGTTAGTTACACATTTTATATTTCACTGAACACATGGAATAATAAAAATAACATTTCTATCTTTTTTTTGAAATTGATTTAAGTATTTTAAAATATAGATAGCATGACTACATACTTGAAATGCCTGTTTGAAATGTTCTGAACATGGAAAATTCTGTTTTCAGTTTTTGCTTTGAAACAGGAATCAATGGAGCTTTTTGAGGGTTCTGATGTCTACAATTGGTTTGTGTTTGTTATTAAAAAAATCTTTAAGCTAAAAAGATCTAGAGCAGTGGTTCTCAACCTGTGGGTCGGGACCCCATTTGGGGTCAAACGACCATTTCACGGGGGTCGCCAAACAAGGCTGTCCGCCATTTTTTTCCCCTTTTCTTTGGCCACGCCCCTGGCACCAGGTGATGTATAAGTTGTTGGGGGTCACCACAACATGGGGAACTGTATTATGGGGCCATTAGAAAGGTTGAGAACCACTGACCTAGAGAATGCATTGGAAAATAGAAGGTTTCATCCCTATTACCACTGGATAGAGCTAAATGAAGAGAGGTGAGTTATGATGGGATATAATCTGGGAGGGAGGGAGTGTATTCCTGAGAAGAGACAATTGAGTTCAGATAATTTGTGTGAGAGGATGAAGACGGCCCCTCCCTAATAGTTCCCAGAGTATATCTTTGTGTAGGTAGTAGCCTGTTTCAGTTTGGCAAGATTTTGTCTATAGGTGTGGAACAATACAGAAATCTGCTTGGAAGAATCACTCTAGGTCTTTCTTAGTCTTGGGAACATGACATGGGGTGAGGGAAAATCAGTTAACCATGAATGCTCTCTGCTGATAACTGTTGTGTTTAGGGTTTTGTTTTTTGCTTTGAGGAAGTTAAAACTGCATGGACTGCAACATAATGCTATTGTTCCTATGGAGTCTTTATGTGTTTTATCTTTCAGGCAGGTTACAAAAGACCAAAGTGTATACTGTGCATATGCATCTTAAATTATGTTGCTATGCTGCTCTCTTTTCAGACTATTAAATGCATGAAACAATGTTACACTGTCTGTCTGTTGAATTTGAAGGCAGGCTGTCAGATCCAAGCAACTAACGGAATCATCTACTCTCATTCAGTCCTTCCTACTTCTTAAAACATCAGTGAGGCCTCTTCAGCAAGTTTCATTATGGATACATTTGTTATCAATAAACAATTTAGTTCTCTCTGGTAGTGGGCTGCATAGTTTTGAAACGAATCCAATAAATTACTGAAGCTGAAACAAGCTTGCTTTGAACTACAGTTAAGGAAGCAGATTAAATTATATTTTGTCAGCTGTTTTACAGGTAGTCCTCAACTTATTTAACAACCATTTAAAATTACAATAACCTTGGAAAATGTGCCTTATGGTCTGTGAAGCACTTCTGGCCATCATCAATGCCATACTGCCCTGCACAGTTATGTTTGCATTTCAGGAGCAGCTCTGTTCGTGCAGCCCCACAAAGGATTTCCTCTCTCTGCATGGTGGGCTGCAGGATCAAAGCTGAAATCCTAAAGATTCCAGCTCTACTCCTGTAGCCTCATGAAGGATTTTCCCTCTTTGCATGAAATGAGGGGAAACCCTTTAGCAAACTACAGGAACAGAGCTGAAATCTTCAGGATTCAGTTCTGTTTCTGCAGCCTCACAAAGAATTTCCCCTCCATACACAAAGGGGAGCTGAAATCTTTTGGTGGACTGCAGAAACACTCCAGAGCAAAAGGGCTGCTTGCCAGGAGGATTTCAGCCCGGTGTAAACTTAAAACCTTCCAACTGGCAGGCCTTTTGCTCTCAAAGAAGTGCCTCCCAAGAGGATTTAGCTCCATGGCAATTCTTTCACTCCATCCACTTAATGAACAGATTGATTGCTTAATGACCACTTTGTTCCACAACAGAGATTCCAGTCCCAATTGTGGTCACACGTTGAGATCTACCTGTTATCAAATTATTTAACTTTCAAACTTTTATTAACTGGTTATTTTCAAAATGGATGCTAATTGTGTTGTTATTGTGTTACTTATAGATTGCCCAGAATTCTTAATGGCACTAGTTTGATATACATTTTCTCAACAATAATAAATATAAAATGTTCCTTCTGAGTCTTGGAATCCTCAATGTCACTTGCAGAAAAGTATATTTTTTCTGTTGCATTATTTATAAACTATGCTGAAGAGATTCTATCCTTTTTAGCTCTTCAGTGGTCTAGTTCCAGGGCTGTCTAGATAGCCTGCAAAAGGTATGTTTAAGTGTTGCTTAATGGAAACCTTTGAAGTATATCTTTTATAAAGGTATGCTCTTGGCATAGTATATAGCATATACTATAGTATATAACAGAATGAACTATTATTTGCATGAGTCTATAACAAAAAAAAGGAAGAAAGCAGTTGATTTCTAGAAATATTTCAAATTGCATTACATCAGAACATTCTGATGAAATTATGGATTTAGGAGATACAATTCAGCTCTACAGTGAATGTGCATACCAACATCCAGTTTCAAGTTGTTCCCCAAGAGAATAAAATATAATTCTCTTTGCTGACCAGATGCTATACTATAAATCAAGCTGCAGCCATTCTTAACTGCTTCACCATTCATGAGTTTTACTTTAAGCAGAAACCTGTGATTTGAGCAAGATAACTCACTCTCCTCCAGCTCTTTTGTAAGCAGTTTCTGTTAAGAGAAGAGTTAAACAAAAAAAAAAAAAGAGGAAGAGGAATTCTAAGTGCCAATAAAACATGGTTTTTATTTGCCCTGATGCATTTCAGAAAATGTGTTCTTTTTCAAAGACACTTCTAGAATATCCATGAACTGACTATGTCAATTTGTTCAGGAGTGCCCTTGAAAAAGAACACATTTGCTGAAACATCTCGAGCCAAGTTTAAAAAAAAAAAAAAAACTGGCCCACATTAAAAATTCTGTTGCTGCTCTCAAAAGAAAGTATATATCTAACCATACACAGACATAATATATACACATTGTATATACATACATACATACACTGTCCATTTTGAATACATAACGGAAAGAGGAAACTTGAGAGTTCACAAGGTTGATGCTATATGGAACAAAAAGTACCTGGAAGCAACCCAATGCAACTCCTGGAGCAGAGGTGTGGTGTAGTAGGAGATAACTGCCAATGCCACTGCATTCTGCACTAACTGAAGCTTCTGAATACTCTTCAAGAACAGCCCCATTACAGAAATCCAACCTGGAGGTGATTAGGACATGAGCAGAGCCTCCCAATCTAAGAATGGGTGCAACTGGTCCCCACATGCAGCTGTGTAATGGCCCTTCTAGCCGCAACTGCCACTTGCTACTTGAGCAAGAGTTATGTATTCAGAAGACCTCCAAATTACACAATGGATCTAACTGGGAAGTGTGACCCCATCTAGCACCAAAGATGGCAGAGTCGTAGAACTGGTAAATCCGCAAACCCAAAGCTACTCAGTTTGTCCAGGGTTCAGCAGAAGCTGTTGTTCCCCATCTAATACCTCACTGGGCACTGGGATAAGAGGCTTATAGTGTCACTTAATTTCTTACAGATTGAGATATATGATTGGGTATCATCAGTGTACCAATGATATTATCAGGGTGAGGAATAAGTTCATTCACACGGTTTCATGTAGATGTTGAATAGGAGAGAAGAAAGCACCGAACTCTGCAGCACCTCACATGGTAAAGGCTGAGGGCAGGATCTCTCCTCCCAAATCACCACCAACTGGAATTGACTCTGGAGAAGGCGGCAAACCAGCACAACACTGTGTAACCCAATCCTCTAAGCCAAGATGGAAGAAAAGCATTGCCAACGGTGCTGAAGGCTGCAGAGAGCTCAAGTAAAACAAGGATGGATGTACAACCCCATCCACCCTTACCACAGAACATAGGAAAACATGACCAATGCCATTTGAGGCCTGAAAAGTGCCTGAAAGAGATCCAGATAATTTATTTCTTCCAATGTCCTCTGAATCTGTTATGCAACTACCTTCTCAATCTCCTTCTGCAAAAAAGGAAAGTTAGATACTGGATGAAAGTATCCCACCATCCCAGTCCGAAGGGATCCAGCAATGGCTTCTTGAGAAGGAAGTGAAGCAGGGCCCCCTTAAGAAGTAAAGGAATAACCCCCTCACTCAAAGAAAAATTAAGATTACTTCTTAATTTAAGCAGATAGCAATACAAAGAACAAAGATAGTGACACTGCAATCCTATATCCTACAATCACCAAAGCAAAAGGATCTGTACTATGTAGCTGGTATCAACACTAACTAATGGATGTGCTATATCTTCAGTTTCAAAAATTCCACTTCTCTATTATACCACTAATACAGCTACAGTTTGTAGTAGTCCAAACCTGATATAACTATGTCAGAGAAAGTACAAATAGTTTACTACCGATATTGTCCATTTAATATAGAAAATTAAATTAAATGGCACCAGTTCCTCCAGTATTCCTGTGACAAAACTATATACAGTACTAACAAATATAAAACAAGCCTAGAGTATATCATCCTTAGTCTTTAAACATACTGAAATAGGCAATATTAAATATAAAACCTACCTGTTTTCTTAAAAAGTTTAATATTTTTGCTGGCTCAGAAATAGCAATATCATCTGATAATAATAATGGTATACTCCCTAAAAAAGATTAAATCAGATAAGATCATACAAACAGAACTGCATTGATAACTCAACAGACCCTAAAGTTTTATTATATCAGATACCGATTAGTTCAGTATTTAGAGTCTGAGTTGTATCAGATTGTAATCTATCTTATTTGTCATTTAATCTTTAGACAAGTAATATCTTTGTAAAATGCTTACATTTTGTAGATGTGATGGGTCTTGATTCTTTTTTTTTTTAAATAATTTTTTATTTTTCCAAACTCTCCCCCATACATATACCGTAATACTTATCAGATATTAGCATACATTCCCTCCACTCACATACAGATACTTTTAACAAAATGAAATAAATACATACACATAACTTTGGTGTTGCTTGCCCATTTCCCCTTTCACCATATCCACACTCCTTCTTCTTTACTTTCTTTCTCCCTTTCTTCTCTTCCCTACTTCCTTCTTCTTCCTCTCCTCTTCTTCACCACTCTCCTCCCCTTTCCTCTTCCTCCAACCTTCCTACTTCCTTCTCCCCTCCTTTACTCTTTTCTCTCTCCTCTCCTTTCTTCATCCCTCTTCAGATACAATTCCGAGCAACTCCTCTCTCCAAATTTCCCTATCTGTATTATATACAATAAGATTAATATTTCTATTTATCTAACCTTCTCGGTATATACTTCTATAAACATTTATAGAGCCTGCAGTTATTCAATACTGTGATGGGTCTTGATTCTGTTACTAGATATATATCATAGCTCTAAATGTTGGCAATCTATTATCCTACCTAATTCCTTTTATATGATTCACACATAGCTTGCATAGTACAATTATGTTTTAAACCAGAGGTCCCCATGGCTGTTAGGAACTGGGCCATGCCAGCAGCAGGCAAGTGAGCAAAGCTCCATCTGTGCATGCACGGGATCTATGTTACGTGCAAAATCATCCTCCCCCGGGGTCTGTGGAAATCAATTTTTCTTCTAAAATCCATTCCTGGTGCCAGAAAGGTTGGGGACCACTGTTTTTAAACAACAGAACCACATCAAAGCAATTTGTTCAATATTGTGCTGCACTTATCTTGCAACATAGTGCAGGTATAAAACAAACTTTATTTTGAGTCTATCCACTGTTCGTTTTGTATTTCAAGACTGGAATATAAGCCAAGTCAAACCAATTTCTTATTTAGACAGTTCTAAGTATATATACAATCTTTACTTGAAACAGAAGTGGGCAATTAATTTTCCAAGGGAGCCTATGAGAAATTGGGACAGTTGTGGAGGGTTGGCGCCACCAGCACCCCCCTGTGAGTTCCTACCACTACCTACCCCTTGTTGCCTCCCCCACCCACCACTGCCATGGACCAGACACAGACAGTCAAAGGGCCAGATATAATGCTTAGGACATGAAATGCTCAGGTCTGACATAAATGTGCCATAACACTTTTAAAATATTAAAGTAATACCTCTTTGTGCTTTCCATTCATTATCTATTACACTGATTTTCAATGGTGCGCCTGAAAACCTGGCATAAGTCTGTAATAAAAGTTAAAAAAACACAATTGAATAATGTACCATTCAGAAATTTTTTGAAAGTGAAAATGACTACTTAGCTTGGAAAAACTGCAGCTACTTCTTTAAGGTTCATGCTTGCATTATGCTTTTGGCATAGTAAACATCAAGGCCAAAATAACCAATAGGAAATTATCAATTAATTCTATGAATTTTAGTGGGAAATTAATTGTCCACTAGAAGAGAGCTAAATTTAAAGAATTGCTTTTTAAATACATTTACTAATATTTAGAAAAACAAATCCACTTCACACCCAAAGTTGAATCCAGTTTAGTCTAGTGATTAAGGTACTGCTCTAGAAACCAGGAGACTATGAGTTCTAGTCTCACCTTAGGCATGAAAGCTGGCTAGGTGACTGGTCCAGTCACTCATTCTCTGTCAGCCAACTCACCTCACAGGGTTGTTATTGTGGGGAAAGTAGAAGGAGGAAGGACTATTAGGTATATTCATTGCTTAGAGGTATTTATAAAATAATGGATGGATGGATGGACGGACGGACGGACAGATAGAATTTCACTTCCTAATTGTAAATAGATTTGGAAATGGAAAATGTCCATGTTTGATTTTTCACATATGAAGCTAGTTTATGTTAAGACAAACAATATAGGAATCACAAATGCTGACATATTTTTTCAAATCATTATTTTGCTATCCTAAAGCCTCAGAATCAGTCTTGAAAGAAGTCCGGACTTCCAAATGAAACACAACTTTCCCCAATCCAATGTCTTTGAATACATTACTTTTTCAAATCTTATTAATCTCATTCAGAAAGCTCAAAGTTTTACAGCATATTAAGAGCTGTAATGCAAGTATTTGAAGGGCACAATTTTGGGAAAGGCGGTTATAGTCAACAGTAATTCCTATGGAGCTTCTGTGATGTGCCTAGAGGCATATTTGAGTAGATATATTTGAGACATATTTGAGAACTGCCAGAGAGAAAATGGGTCATCCTATTTTCCAAAGCATCAGAAGGCAAGACAAGAAGTAATGCATAGAAATTAATCAAGGAGAGAACCAACCTTGAACTAAAGAGAAATTTTCTTACAGAACAATTAACCAATGGAACAGCTTGCCTTCAGAAGTTGTAGGTACTCCAAGACTGGTAGCTTTTAAGAAGAGATTGGGCAGCCATTTTTCTGAAATGGTATAGGGCAGGGATCCCCAACCCTTGGGCCGTAGACTGGTACTGGGCTGCAGCATGCCAGCAACCAGTCTGCACAAGTAAGCATAGCCCATCCATGGGATGCAGACAGCACACAAAACCATGCACTCTCCAATCCGTGGAAAAACCTTTTGGTTTGTTGGTGCCCAAACGATTGGGGACCTCTGGTATAGGGTCTCCTGCTTGAGTAGGGAATTGGATTAGAAGACCTCCAAGGTCCCTTCAACTCTGTTACTCTGTTATGTTTTCAGAGACCAGATATCTTTTTCAGTTTAGCACCATGCATATTTGCTCAAAGGTCAGATTGATCATTAATCTTTTTATTATATATACAGTGTACTTCAGATACATCTGCCAAAAAATGGATTTTTTAAAATTAGCATCTAAAAAAAACTATGTTGATTTCCTGAAGAAAAACAATGCAAATTCCATGATTGCATAAAAATGGAAACAATAAATTAAAATATTGTAGAAATAAGGTCAGAGGAAGTTTGCCTTCTGAAGATGGAAAGCACAGATATACTAACTCAGTAAATATAGGCTGCAAGTATGAGATTACACCATTTTTTTCAAGTCCATGCTTTCCAAATGTGTTGAATTGTAGTATCCATCATCATTGTCAAGCATAGTAGTCGGATTAAATTAAGACCGGCAATAAAGGCAATTCCTAATTACTTAATCTGGGAGATATTATAACCCGTCCCTGTAATGCACTAAGCTATAGATCCCGAAAACTAACGGCCGCAATACTTAATCCAGTTTTATTTCCCTCCAAAACTGATGCCCCATTTATACAGGCTCGTTGCAACTTTCTGGGGAAGCCAGCCCAACAACGGCCCTGGAAATGCTTAAGTTCCATTTCCCCAGTTCTACTCCAGGGATGGCCACCGTGCCCGCTGGGCCGGTTCTGCGATAGCCAGAACCGGACAGCCCTCCCGTTTCGCCCTCTAGCATCAGTTTTCGTTTCTCCTCCCCACAAAAGGCTTTCGCTCGCGTGACCTGGCTAGTTCCCCGTTACCATGACAACGAGACACTCGGCGTGCACCGACGGCAATCCCCAGTCGCCGCCCCAGCAACTCAGCTCCATTGAAGACGCCATGTTGACACTGTTCACCTTTGGCCTTGCAAAGCCCCGCCCCGTGAGTTGTCTTCGCCTCCCCGTAGGCCGGGCGCTGAGGCTGCCGTTCGCCCGTATGATCGTTGGTCTCGGGAACCAATGAAGCGCGTGCACGACACAACAACTTGAGCGCGCGCGCCATCTCTCTATCAGCCGTTCTAAAGAGACAGGCGCCTTTTCTAACCTGGTGTTCCTCGTTAAATTCTGGGGTGCAAAATATGAGCGACCACAAATAGGAGCAGTGAGGTCGCGTTTTGAATCTTTTGCTCCCATATCACCTGATTTCTTGGCTCTCCGAAATCAGATAGCGCTGAAATAGGCTGGCTTTATCTTCTCCCCAGCCAGCATCTCCTTTCGGGGAATGATGAGATGTTCAAGTTCAACAAACGTGACAAGTACTTGGTGGGGAAAGCTGGTCTTATAGTTCTCTAGTCTGGGTTGGCTATTGGCGCTGTTGAGATTGCTGTGCGGAAGACATTTTCGACAAATTCATATTTCACGTACAAAACAATGTTCACTTTTGTAGCATATACAGATTGGCAACACACTTCCAGCTAAGGTCATCTCGGTTATGTGTAAACATTCCCATTTTCAATTTTCTACAATTAAGGAGGAACAATGCTCAGCAAAATATTCAGAGGGTTTTCTAAAAAAAAAAACACAACCCCCCACTGAATTAACTTATTCACGATCACTTACAGCTTTCTCACAAGAAACAGGACTACAGATGTCTCTTTATCCTCTAAATATATATATATATAACTAAGGTGACTAACTTTTTTACAATGAAAAGGAGGACACAAATAAATTGAAGAAAAAAATATCGTAAATAAAAGAAACATTTTATTCATTGCAACAATAATACAGAATACACTATAATATGATAAATGCATAATAAAAACATTTGTAACAATAACATTTTATATTGTAATTATGCTTACATGCTGCACCCCTGCCCGCAGCCACCCCGCCAGCACTGCTGCCTCGCAGTGTAGAGTGGGCCCTGTGGCTCCTAAAGCACCAGCTGTGCTGGCTCCGGCCCCAAGGGCAGCCCACCGTCGACACACCCCACCTGCAGCCGCCCCACCAGCACCACTGCCTACCCTGCACAGCCCCATGTAGAGCAGGCCCCGCGGATCCCACAGCATGGGGGGCAGCCGGCCACTGCCACCCCTCATACCCCTGCCCACAGCAACCCCGACACCCCTGACTCTTGCGCCCACAGCCATTATTGCCCTAGCAGGGCCGAAGATCAAGAGAAAGTTACTGTGGCATCACCGCTCCAGTCTCCTCCAGGTATCTTCAGGATTAACTAGGAGATGGTGTAGTTGGGTAGCAGGGAGGGATGCAAAGTTTCTGCCAATTCGCCCTCGCTGCAGACAACTTATATGTGCAAAGTTTGCCGGCCAGGTGTTTTGGTGTGCTCAGCAGCAATTCCTATTGGCTTTTGAAAGCCAATAGGGGGAGTAGCACAGCTCATGCAAAAGTTGAAAAAAACATCCAAAAAGGTGCCAGAACGCCGTTCTGAGTGTTTTATGAGAAAAAAAAAAGCTCTGCAGATTAGTCTTCAAATATCGAAAAGGAGGACATGTAGAAGGACACTTTTCGAGGGAGGACAGAACTCCGTAAAGGAGGACGGTTGGTCACTTTAATATAACATATGTCGCTGAAACAGAACCTTTAATTGCAAATCTTATTTGGCTTTAAAGAATGTCATTGTTTTTTATTAATTTATGCTAAGATAAATAGGTGACTATTAGGTTTATATCCTGCCTTTCTTCCAGGCATTGAAGTTAGTATATTGTTTCCTCTTTCAATTTTATCCTCAGATAGGTTAAATGTTTAGGCTTTAAGATGGATGGGCTTCCACTCCCATAATTCCCTAACCAGCTTTGAGAAATATTGGATTAGACTATGAGATAATGCTTGGTCCACTTCTTATTTTAGGATGAATAAGACCCTAGTTCTTCCCAATGTCAGTGCAGTGCTTAAACATAACTCCATCTTTCTCTTCCTCTCTCCCAATTTTATCTGTGGAATTTTTTACATAGAGTGATCATCACAAGGCTTATGGCTTTGTAACTGAAGGAAAATGAACTTGGGTTTTCAAAATTTGCAGATCATATCTCAATCTTTAAGCCATTATTGTTTTAAATGTTCAGTGTTTAAACATGGGTTGTTGAAAAAACACAATTTGTTTCACATATTATAAACTATAATATCCTGGATTGTACAACTAAGCCAAAAGCACATTAGAGTGAGGATGATGTATGCACCCCAAATTTTAGAATACCATCCATAGTCAAAAGTTCTGTAGTATGCTACATGAACATGTAAAGTTTTCAAGATCTATTGTTTTAAAAAAGCAGTCCTTCAAAGAAAATGTTCTGCAACTTTAAAAGAAGATCTTGAGGAAAATATCTGGTACGCCTGGGGATACAAGAAAAATAACTATTCTAAGGCACACATACAGTATTCTTTGCAAGTTGTCCTATTGAATCAGTGTTACTAATTGTTAAAAGTTTTATGGAAAGTTTACAGTCTATGCAGAATGACTTAAAATATTTTGTGGTTTCAGTAAACCCTCTGTTCCTGGAGCTATTTTTCAGTTTATACTTTTTCCACCATGGATACAGAAATTCATAATCTCAGTAGTAAAGCAAGTAAAGAATATGCAAAACCATTTGGCTGTTTTCCACATTTCTGGTGAATTAAATGTGCACATGTTTAAAAATTACAAGTTAACCTTTGCATATATTTTGTGGATCATTTTTCAGGGTGCATCTGAAGATATAAGTGAGAAACTTCTAGTGAAGGGAATTAAAACAAAGCGAAAGAATTATATGTCCATTAAATCAATTGGATTGTGAAGTAATTATTTGGTAAGGCAGAAACTAGGTCTTATAAGCAGAACAGTTAACAAGGCATCAATGGTAACATCTGTGTGTTGTGTATCTGGTTAAATTAATGGGTAAATAAGGTTTTATATAAGTACAGTATTTACATAGTAACCATTCTTTCAAATAAACATATGAATTATACAAAGTCGCAAACAAGGCAACAAAATACTTTTGTGAAGACTGTTGTCAAGTAAAATGTCCCTCTGATAGCCCAACCTTACACTATTACCACAAAGTAGGGCACCTAAAACAGAGGATTGATTTTGTGAATCTTTATTCCTAATATCACCTTTCTATATAATTCTTTTTGACTTATCTCCTTGGTATTTCAGATACAAATTCTACCTTTTAGGTAAACCTATGCTCCTTTATTTAGGAATAAATTCTTTTAAAGTCAGCTGGATATGTTAGCTTGCTGTTTTAATTACATGTTTATTGTTTTTATGCCTGCATAAGACTCTGCTTTCATTTACTTTACCCTTTGTTCTCCCATTTGCTATTTTCCTTTTTGTCAAACATCCATTATTAATTTGTCATCACTAATGTCCAAGAAGTTATCAATCTCTATTTTCTCTTTTTCAATGTCTTTTTTTTAAATGTTTTACTTTAACAACAAATTTGATGTAAGAATTGATCGGTTCACTAGATGTGTAACTTGCCTTTCCTTCAGGAAGTCAAAGCAATACACAGAGCACTCTCTGCCCACCACAATGAATGAGTCAATGGAGATGAGAAACAGTATTTGGTTCAAAGTCATCCAATGAGCTTCCATGTTTGAAGATGAAGTTAAATTTGGATTCTTCTTGATTTTAGCACATTAACAAGCTGCAGATAGATAGATAGATAGATAGATAGATAGATAGATAGATAGATAGATAGAAAGATATAGACTCATCCATCCGTTTTACCTCAGCACCAAAGACAGTTCAGCCCTGAGCTAAATATATTCTCTGCTATTGGCATATACATTTATTAGTATTACTAGAAGAAATAGAGAGGGAGATAAGCTATAGATCTGGCATTCCAGATAGAGGTGATATAGCACTTTCAACCTCTGTCACTGTTGCCCTGGGTGGTTGGGATTATTGGAAGTTTACTTTAGCCTTATCTGGAGATTGCAAGCTCCTCACTTTTGCTAGAGATCAACAGTGAGAAATGTTTTTATGGCCAGAGGCTTCATTCAAGATTTTTGAGGAGTAGGAAATGCAATGAGTGGGCAGATGATAAATAAGTAGGGATGCAAATGGATTTTCCATCTTTGGAGAAAAGTTATTTATTTAAATTTATTTAATTTAGTATTAAATTATCCTTATTATGGCTTGCGCAACTGTTTTCTTATTTTCTTCCCTCAAAAGTAAATTCTGGCAACTCCAATGAAATTTCGTGAGTGGTACTCTTCTGGACACAAGGATTTTCAGATTACCATAATGGTAACTCTATAACTATAATGGCATAGGAACTCAATTACTTCTGTATTTGGTGTAATTCCTAGATCCTAAGTTACTAATTGGCTAAACAGTTGTAAGTGATATCATTTAAAAACAAAAGCCATAGTAATACCATTCTTCAGAATCAAAAATTTGGAGCTTATTCACGTGACTATTGAACACATAATAGTTACAGAAAAATAGTAGAATTTATGTATGTTGGGTCCCAGACTATCTATTTTGGCACATACTGAATAAAGAATAAGCAAAATTTAACTTGTAATGCAGAAATCGATTCCTGAAGATGTTGGGGATTTACAATTAGCTCCCTTACAAACTTTTTCCCACAATTCTCATTTACCTAGGCAGGACCTGAAAACAGTGAGCCTACAACAAGAAGTGAATAGAGGCAAAACACAAAGTATCTTACTTCTGCTGCTTATTTTTTTGCTCTTTCTGACATCCTGTTCCCTCCTTCAGTAAAGAGCCAAGTAGCTCTTACCAAAAGCCTAACTTAGTGGGAGTGGGAGGTGGGGATGGATGGGATTGAAATTAGGCCAAGGAATGCATGAAATTAACTGGAGAGCCCTAAATTGCCCACACCTGCCCTGGGCTGAAGCAATGGTCTGATTCAGCAGGAACTGGTTTCAGATGCCATGACTTCAACAATAGTCCATAAGCATGAAGTCACAATGATCTGTATCTTCTT